TATGCCGCTGTCATATGCCGCTGTTATATGCCGCTGTTATATGCTGCTGTTATATGCCGCTGTCATATGCCGCTGTTATATGCCGCTGTTATATGCTGCTGTCATATGCCGCTGTTATATGCCGCTGTCATGCGTCCCGTTACCTTCACCCTGTTTGGAACGTTCCCCATCGACATCCGTTTCTTACGCATTAGATGTACATCCGTCACTGCTGGATGGCCAAGGCTACACAAAGTGAATGTGTGTTTGAAAATGTATTGTCGCGTCTTATACGATGTGGTGACGCTAGGGCGTTGTGCTACGTGTAGCTGTTTGATCCTACGTATACCGATCCGATTATATGATTCTATATGATCCGGGATGACGCCTGCCTGTTGTTTTCGGAAATACTATATATGTATAGTACTGTATACTATATATCTAATCTCACGGAGGGTTCTGCTAGCTGCTAGGTCTCCGAGGATTCTCACATACGATCTGCGTATGTGTCCATCCATCCATCCATCTGTCCGTTCCTTCATCCTTCCATCCATCCATCCATTCATCCATCCATCGATCCATCCAGCCATCCATCCATCCATCCAGCCAGCCAGCCATCCAGCCAGCCAGCCATCCATCCATCCATCCATCCATCCATTCTTCTATCCATCCATCCATCCATCCATCCATCCATCCATCCATCCATCCATCCATTCATCCATCCATCCATGCATGCATGCATGCATCCATCCATCCATCCATACGTGCATCCATCCATTTATCCATCCATTCATCCATTCATCTATCCATCCAGTCAGCCATCCATCCAGTCAGTCATCCATCCGCTCGTCCGTACCAGCATTATACGTATTTATTATTATTATTATTATTATTTCCAAAGTGGATCACGGCATTAGCCGGTGGCTTCTGGGTTGACCGTGTCCCAACCTGGGACATAGAGATTCAATCCAGAATTTTTCGCAGGATGTGTGCTGTTCCCAGTAGTGCGATTTTCTGCACTTCTTGGGCAGTGTGTTGGCCAGGGAGTTCCTTAAGGTTCTTCTCAAAACCATTCTTTAGAGAGCCAAGGACTCCAACCACCACTGGTACAATTCTCGTCATTGTATTCCACATCCTCCTTATTATTATTATTATTATTATTATTATTACGTTATTATGTGTCCGTGTTTTCTTTCCCGCAATACGCGTGCGTGATGATAGTGTTATTCTTTCCCACAGTACACGTGCGTTATCATCGTGTTGTTCCTACCCACAGTACACGTGCATGATGATAGCGTTGTTCCCACCCACGCGTGCGTGATCATCGTGTTGTTCCTTCCCACAGTACACGTGCGTGATCATCGTGTTATTCCTTCCCACGCGTGCGGGATGATCGTGTTGTTCCTT